TATGAAATGATTTGGAAAATATTTGAACACCTGGTCTTAAAATATTTTATTCATCATGTTAAAATAAAACATTCCATAATCATTTTTTTTCTTTTCTTTTTTCAATTTTTCCAATTTTTCGGAAAAAAACAAAAAAGGCTTCAGGAAAAAAACGGGGGGGGGGGAACGGGTTTTTTCCGAATTTTTCTGGGCTTTTACATCTCTACTCTTGTCAACAAGGTTACATGATCGCAAAATGGTTCGGCAGGACACTTGAATAAAGGGGACCGCAAACTGTGCCGCTGCAAACATAATATGTGTCCTCTGTTTGCTAGATGCAGGTGGGTAGCTGTGTCGGTCTAAAGTAAGAGAACGAAGAGAAGAGATTGGATTTATACCCCGCCCTTCACTACCCAAGGGAGTCTCAGAGCGGCTTACAAACTCCTTCCCCTTCCCCTCCCCCCAACAGACATCCTGTGAGGTAGGTGGGGTTGAGAGAGCTCTTTCGGGGACTGCTCTTGAGAGAACAGCTCTGAGAGAACTATGGCTTGCCCGAGGTCATCCAGCAGGTGCGAGTGGAGGAGTGGGGAATCAAACCCGGTTCTCCCAGATTAGAGTCCGCACACTTGACCACGACACCAAACTAGCTCTTGGATACGAAGTCTGAGTCCAGTGGCATCTTTAAGACCACATTTAAGACCGAACGAAACACATCTTGAAGTATCTGTAGAAGTGTCCATGCCCATGAAAGCTTCTATCAAGAATTTAACTTTGTTGGTCTTAAAGATGCCACTGGACTCAGACTTCACCGTCTGCAGTATTTTCTTGATCTCGTGGCCCTGCTTTCTCCTTATGTAGCACACCCTCTTGCTCCACGAGTTGCACACCTTCTTGCAAGGATGATCCAACACTGCAGGTCACACCTGTCAAGGATCTGTTGGGTCACCTGGCGGCTTCTAGTCCAGTTACCTCATCTACCTCTGTGTTCTTTACAGACCTCTGCCTATATAGAGGAGGATGACACCCCAACAACGGTGCAAGTTCTCAGAGAGGCAGGAATGAAAGGCAGAGCTAGGAGTTCGACGAAGCGGAAGCAAGGTGGGTCAGGTCTTTAAATCCTTCGAGATGCGACCCCCGTCGTCACTAGAACTCCACTCAGCCCCTTCACACTGTGTCAGATGCCTGGAGAACCCACTTCCCAACAACAGTCATTCAAAAGAACAGAAAGTTTATTGAGTCACTGATAGGATCCAGACTCTGAACGTTTCTGTGTTAGAACTGGGGGGGGAAATGCGGGAACTAAGCAATTATACCTAAATCATGCAGGACCCTAATGGCCCGGGGCCAATCACACCTAAGCTAGAGGCCCGCTAAATTACGGCCCATAGTTCCCAGGGGGAAGATGATACCAGTCTTGACTGGGGCTCAAGGTTACATGTCTGAGCCGAGAAAGAAAGCTACAAGCAGCAGCGAAGAGGCCAGAAGCGAAAGTATACATTCTTCTCACACCCTCCACCCTACGTGCCCATGGCAACCAAGCCCGAAAAAGCGAGCGAGGCTGACTGCTGCAAGCAACTTCCTTTTGCTGGCATAGAAATCCGTGTGCACTGCATGATCGAGCTGCGCGATCGTTCAGGTGCCCTGATGAACTGGACCAAAGATGTGTGGGAAACGGTACGTACCACAGGTCATCGCGCCCACGACGAAGCCCTGGGCCCCCACACGCATGTGTATCAGATGGACCGACATTTTGGTGTCCCCTCTGTGTTTCAGCCTGTAGAGCCCGTACGCCACCACGCCTAAGAAACCTGCAATGCCTAGAAAAGCAGAGAGAGGCCGCGTCAGTCGGGGACTGGGCAATGAACTTCATGCTCCTTCACCAGAGAAGCGGCGAATACTCTTTACAACTCTACGCCCTTCGAGGCAGCTGTAAAAGCAGAGGCCAGGATCCAAGGAGTCGCTTAAGTTCACATCGGGGGCTTCCTCAGACCCATGCTTTTAATTCTTTCACCCTTTGAAGAGCCGCTCCCCCCCCCCTCACTACACACTGCTTTTGAAATTGACCTCGGGGCATGAAGGATTGCTGTTTCGAAAAACAAAAAGACCTCACTCCCAGGGAACCGGTCAGATGGTTTGTCTGGATCCTGGCCAACAGTTCAAATGCATCGACAGAAATGTACCCTCTGTTCCCTGGTACGCTACAATACTTTTACACGCACTGTATCTTGGTAGCATGCAGGGCGTGGGGTCAGATCTGACGTGACGAGCATCACCCTATGGCCCACGGGTTTTAACAACTGCTGCGCATTAAATGCATAGTTCTAGGCAGAGTGTCTGCGTCTGATTCATAAGGTTAAGACGCTGAACTTGCAGGCCGGAAGGTCGGTAGTTCAGCAGTTCGAGACCCGAGTGCCGCAAGGCGGAGTGAGCTCCCACCAACCTAGCCATTCGAAAGCAAGACATCGCAAGTAGATAAATAGGTACCACTTTGGTGGGAAGGTAACAGCGTTCCGTGCACCTCGACGTCTAGTCATGCCGGCCACATGACCACGGAAACGTCTTCAGACAGTGCTGGCTCTTCGGCTTTGAAACGGAGATGAGCACCGCAACCCTAGAGTCGGATTCGACTGGCTCTCGAGCAAGGGAAACCTTTACTCATAGGAACCCCACACACGAACATATCACTCTGCCTTAAACCGAATCGGACCCTCGGTCCATCATGGTCAGTATTGTCTAGTCAGACTGGCAATTTCCAGCATCTCAGACTGAGGTCTTTCCCATCACCTCCTGCCTGGTCCTCTTAACTGGAGATGCTGGGGATTGCACCTGGGACCTCCTGCGTGCCAAGCAGAGGCTCTGCCACTGAGCCACAACCCTGGCCTCCCCAAACCCTAATTTTTTATCTTTAGTTTGTCTGAGCAGTTAAGGTCCCTAGGCATGCTAATCCTCTGAATCCCAGAGCCAGGAGGCAAGATAGGATGGACCACTGGTCGGATCCAGCTAGGCTCCTCTTCTGTTCTTCTCAGGGGAAGGCCTCAGTCTCTCTGCCCTGTTGTTGGCCCTCCAGAGGAACTGGCTGGCCTCTGTGTGAGACAAGACGTGTTCTTATCAGGGGAAGGCCTCAGTCTCTCTGCCCTGTTGTTGGCCCTCCAGAGGAACTGGTTGGCCACCGTGTGAGACAAGATGCTGAACTGGATGGACCCTCCCTGGTCTGATCCAGCAGGGGTCTTCTGATGTTTTTATCAGGGGAAGGCCTCGGCCCCTGTGTGAGACAGGAGGCTGGGCTAGATGAACTATTTGTCTGATCCAGCAGGGCTCTTCCTACGTTCTTAAGTAATCCACCTTGAGTCTCAGTGAGAAAAAAGGACTATAAATAATGTAAATAAGTCAGTAATACAGCCTGCTAATTTGTGCATATATCGAGTGACTGCAGAGAACTAAGCTTGCTACATTCGGTCCAACCATTTTTTTTTACAGATTCAACCAACAACCAGGTTATAAGAAGAAGAAGAGGAGATTGGATTTATCCCCCGCCCTTCACTCGGAGTCTCAGAGTGGCTTACAAACTCCTTTCCCTTCCCCTCCCCACAACAGACACCCTTTGAGGAAGGCAGGGCTGAGAGAGCTCTTTCCAGAACTGCCCTTTCAAGGACAGCTGTGACAGAACCGTGGCTTGCCCAAGGTCATCCAGCAGCTGCAAGTGGAGGAGTGGGGAATCAAACCCGGTTCTCCCAGATTAGAGTCCGCGCGCTTAACCACGACACCAAACTGGCTCTTAAGTCAAGCTTACATATATCTTTGTGTAAAATAGCCCTGCCAAGACGCAATAGCAATTCCCTCATGGTGCACTAAGTAAGGGTGCATATATGGGAACTCTGAGCATGCTGACGTCCCCAGCCAAAAGCTATTTCCCGGAGGAAACAGCAATCGTCTCGGATGCCCGAGACTCGAAGAAAGCACATTTGCCCCAATACCGGCTCGAACGAGGAAGTAATATTTCAAGACGATTTCCTGTTTGTACTGTCTGACTAACCCTGGCATTATATCCACACCCACTCCCTAGCCTTAGGGCACTTGCCGGTGTCTTTCCCCCTCTCCTTCTAGTTCAAAAAGGCAATTGCAAAATACAGCTTTGTAAGAGTGACTTACCAATTGGGACGAATGGCGACTCTCGAGATTTTTTAATCAGTTTCGAGGACTGGCTCTCTTCTGTCTCGTAGGTGGGGAGGATCGGTTCTGTTACGTTGGACGTCATGTTGTCTGTAAGGAAGCGCGGGCCCGTGAAGAAAGAACAAGATTCTGACTCTGCTGGGGGAAAAAAAATATCTACTTTACATTTCTTTCAGGTGTTGCTTAATCTCACTTTATAGTCCAGACCAGCAGTCCCCAACGTGGTGCCCCCGGGCACCGCAGCAACCACCAACACCTTTCCTCGTGCCTGCCAAGTGCGGGGGTAGGTGGGGCCTTTTGCCCAGCAAGGTTTCTGTCTGGCTACCAGAGATTGGCTGCACAGTATTTTGAGAACGTCAATTTGGCAGCAGCTGTCCTCACAGCACAGGGATCTTCACTGTGTGACTGCGGCTAAGCTGCAGTGGCCATTCTGTGGCTGGCTCCGCCTCCCACAGCAGCTAGTTCGTGGCAAACATTTTGTGGCCACGCGCAGCACACTGTATCAGAATTCCAAAGGTGCCCACAGGCTCAAAAAGGTTGGGGGACCTGGCTCAGACCCTCAGAAGACCAGCTTCCAAATGTGGTGCGTACTGAAGCTACAAGCTGTTCTCCGTGTAGGATTACAAGTTCCTGAGGAAGTGTGCTTCTCGCAGAGCGCTACCGTGGATAAAAAATTCCCTCCTTCCAGTCTAGTATAGCCAAGCCCTGGATTGAGAAGGGGACCGATTTTTTCAGGGTGTGCTATCCAGAAAGAATTACAGCATTGCTGTACTGAGTTCAGGCTAAAAATCACTTCTCCCACTGAGGAAGAAGAGATTGGATTTATACCCCGCCCTTCACTACCCGAAGGAGTCTTAGAGCGACTTACAGACTCCTGTCCCTTCCCCTCCTCACAACAGACACCCTGTGAGGTAGGTGGGGCTGAGAGAGCTCTTTGAAGGACTGCTCTTGAGAGAAGCCCTTGAGCAAACAGCTCTAAGAGAACTTGTAACCGACCCAAGGTCACACCAGTAGCTGCATGTGGAGGAGCGGGGAATCAAACCCGGCTCTCCCAGATTAGAGTCCACACTCCTAACCACTACATGAAACTGACTGTTTTAGCAGACACATGAGCAAGGTTGCAAAGAACAGACTGAGAATTTGGCCAAGGAACACTTTAGGCCCGGTTTCATACAACCTCTGGCCGTTTCAAATTGCTTGTAGGCCAGTCTGAACTCTCTGACGGCAGCTATCGTGCATCACAAACGAAAAACACAAAACAAGGTGCATTGTGAAAAGCCAGTGCGCGCCTGTACCCAAGGCAAAACACTGTGACTTTCACAGGGAAGTGTGGGTCGAAGCCATAGCAGAAGAGCCCAGGTTCCACCCCAGCCATTTCCAGCTAAAAGGCAGAGAAGCCTCTCACTTAACAAAATGCACAAGGAATATGGATTGTGAAGTCCTGGTTCTAAAAGCAGCAGCGCCTCTCCTGAGTGATATTCAAGGAACAGGACAGGTTGGAACTGGAAAAGGGAAGCCACTTGTGTGCCTGACAACTTCTAGGCTATTAAGATGTCTCAAGAAAAGAAGAAGATTTCACAAAGACTTGAGATGCTCTGGCACAGAAGACGGAAGTCTCAAAGGATGGGAAAGAGCAGGTAGAGAAAGAGGTACTTTTCTCCCTTTCTCACAATACAAGAACTCGTGGGCACTCCATGAAACTGCTGAGCGGTCGGGTTAGAACGGATAAGAGGAAGTCCTTCTTCACCCAAAGAGTGATTCACACATGGAACTCACTGCCACAGGAAGTGGTGGCGGCTACAAGCATGGACGGCTTCAAAAGGGAATTAGATAAGCATATGGAGCAGAGGTCCATCAGTGGCTATTAGCCACAAGGTATAGATAGGGGCTTTGGGGCAAGTGATGCACTGTATTCTTGGTGCTTGGGGGGGCAACAGTGGGAGGGCTTCTAATGTCCTGGCCCCACTGGTGGACCTCCTGATGGCACCTGGTATTTCTGGCCACTGTGTGATACAGAGTGTTGGACTGGATGGGCCTTTGGCCTGATCCAACATTGGCATCTCTTATGTTCTTAAAGGCTCCCCACCAAAACCCAGGGGCCATGAAATGAAAGACTGTGACTACTTCAAGCTGAATGAATTTGAAATATTCTGACCCCGGCCCCCAATCAAGTTGCAGGAAGCTTCTAAAACCTCAAGGGAACTGAGACTGCGTCCAGTAAGGACCTTCCAACTAAGCTGAAGGTCGGGGGGGGGGGGATACTTTTCAAAAATGACCCAGAAAAACTAGGAAAAGGACAGAGGGATTCTTTAGAACCAGCCATAGAATTTGACCTGCCCAGATAGTGGGGCAACTTCTAGTGCTTTAGAAGTTATCAACAGGATTCCTTGCACATCAGAACTGTGACTGATAAACTTTATTGTCTGCAGTGTTCCCTCTAAGCTGAGTTAGTGTGAGCTAGCTCACAGTTTTTTTAGCCTCCGGCTCACACATTTTTGCCTTAGCTCAAGAAGGATGGCTCCAGAGCAAACTAATTTATGCAGTAGCCAAATGGCTCACTCACAACATTAATGCTGGTAGCTCACAAAGTAGAATTTTTGCTCACAAGACTCCACAGCTTAGAAGGAGCATTGGTTGTCTGTATCCTATCTTTTCTTCCAAAACTGGCTCTATATGCAGTAGCAACGGCTTGTTCCATCTTGGCCAGATGTTGAAGAAAAATTCTCTTCCAAGTTTTTTTTTTTTTTAAGGAGTGGCTAGAGAAGTTACAAGAGACATTCTGCATAATTAAACGGACGGCTTATTTCAAAAGAAAGCCTCTAAACAATACTGATGGCTTGGAGACAAACGGTGACCCAGATACGTAACTATCTGTGGCTCACACGACATGTTTGAAAAGCAGTGATTAAGTGAAACTATTTACATTCTGCTCCTCGCACAGAATCGTGAGTTAAAATGCAGTATTCGTAGCAAGGTTCATTGACTGAATTCCCTGCTGGATTTATTTGTGTGTGTGTAAAAAACTAAAAAATATTTTTTAAAAGAGAAGACATATTTTTTAAAAAAAGAAGCTATCAGCCATCTTAGCGGCCCTTGGCAGCTTCATATCTTACAGTTTCGTATCATGATGGCTGTTCTCTCTCTTCTGTGGCTAGCTGCTTCTTCTCCAAGTGGCTTCTCTGGTGCTGGGATGGGAGTTCAAAAGCTGTTACTGGAGAGGACTGGCCCTGAACTGCCATCCCTGCCCAGTGGTCCACCTAGTCCAGCCTCCTGTCTAACACAGTGCCAGCCAGTTCCTCTGGAGTGCCAACAACAGGGCATAGAGGCTGAGGCCTTCCCCTGAGAAGAACACCAGAAGAGCCCTGCTGGATCAGACCAGGGAGGGTCCATCTGGTTCAGCATCCGGCCTCACACAGGGGCTGACCAGTTCCTCTAGATGGCCAACAACAAGGTAGGAAGGCCGAGGCCTTCCCCTGATAAGAACCTCAGAAGAGCCCTGCTGGTCAGACCCGTAAGAGTCCATCTAGTCCAGCATCCTGTCTCACACAGTGGCCAGCCAGTTCCTCTGGAGGATCAGCAACAGGGTAGATAGGCTGAGGCCTTCCCCTGAGAAGAACATCAGGAGAGTCCTGCTGGGTCAGACCAGGGAGGGTCCATCTAGTCCAGCATCCTGCCTCACACAGTGGCCAGCCAGTTCCTCCAGACGTCCAGCAACAGGGCAGGGAGGCCGAGGCCTTCCCCTGATATAAGAACACTAGAATACCCCCGGTGGATCAGACCAGGGAGGGTCCATCTAGTCCAGCATCCTGCCTCACACAGTGGCCAGCCAGTTCCTCCAGACGTCCAGCAACAGGGCAGGGAGGCCGAGGCCTTCCCCTGATATAAGAACACCAGAATACCCCCGGTGGATCAGACCAGGGAGGGTCCATCTAGTCCAGCCTCCTGTCTCACACAGTGGCCAGCCAGTTCCTCTGGAGGGCCAACAACAGGGCAGAGGGACCGAGGCCTTCCCCTGAGAAGAACCTCAGAAGAGCCCTGCTGGATCAGACCAGGAGGGTCCACCTAGTCCGGCATCCCGTCTCACACAGGAGCCAACCAGTTCTTCTAGATGGCCAACAACAGGGCAGAGGCCAAGGCCTTCCTCCGATATTGCCTCCTGGCACTGGGATTCAGAGGATGGCTGCTTCTGAACGCTGGAGTCACCAAGGCTAGTAGCCACCGAGCCACCTGGCCTCCACGAATCTTTCTATTCCCCCTTTAAAGCTGTCGAGTCTCTGTAGCCACCATTACATCCTCTGGCAGAAAATTCCACATCCTAAGCGCTTGCGAAATGAAGCCTTCCCCTTTAGCCGGTCCTCAATCTCCTGCCTATCAGCTTCATTGGAACTTTGAGTTCTACTTATTCTGATTTCTCTGTGTCAGCTCTCTCCACCCAATGCAGGAGTTTCAGACAGGGATCTACTTAGAAGGACAGAAGAAATTGGATTTCTACCCCACCCTTAACTACCCAAAGGAGTCTCAGAGCGGCTTACAAACTCCTTTCCCTTCCCCTCCCCACAACAGACACCCTGTGAGGTGGGTGGGGCTGAGAGAACTCTGACACAAACTGCTCTTTTTCAAGGACAGCTGTGCCAAAGCTTGTGACTGACCCAAGGTCACATCAGCAGGTGCAAGTGGAGGAGTGGGGAATCAAACCCAGTTCTCCCAGATTAGAGTCCGCACACTTAACCACGACACCAAACAGATGCAGCGCCTCTAATTTCAACGAGGAGACAAAAAAAATCTCAGCTATTAGAGGCATGTGGAACACGGTCCCAACTTTTAAACCACCACCGTCATGTTGCAAATGCACAAACTTCCCTTCCTTTGTCAACTGTGGACAGACGTTCTCACAGTTCTGACTGTTCACTGGCCCCAGTTGCATCAGACTCGCCCTTTCCAGGCCGTGCTGGCCTCCTGTTGCGTCAACCCCGGCTGTCGTGACCACACATGCTGCAATTCACTCTATTCCCAGCACCCTTACAGAGAGCCAGTCTGGTGTAGTGGTTAAGTGTGCGGACTATAATCTGGGAGAACCGGGCTTGATTACCCACTCCTCCACTCGCACCGGCTGGATGACCTTGGGCAAGCCGTAGTTC